GAAAGCAATTATTAGTTTTTTAAAACCCATTTTTGGGACAAAATTATTAGCCCCTTTAAGCAATTTTTTTTCCCGACAATCTACAGAACAAACCATCATTATACAATAACTTGCCTAATTACCCTAACCTGCCTAGTTCACCTTATTAACTTAGTTAAGCCTTTAAATGTCACTTTAAGCTGTATAGAAGTATCTTGAAAAATATCAAGTAAAATATTATTTACTGTCATCATGGCAAAGATAAAATAAATCAGTTATTAGAAATAAGTTTTTAAAACTATTATGCTAAGAAATGTGCTGAAACAATCTTCCCTCCATTACACAGAAACTGGGGAAAAAAATAAACAGGGGCGCTAATAATTCAGGGGGGCTAATAATTCTGACTTCAACTGTCTGTATGTGTGTGTGTGTGTGTATGTATGTATGTGTGTATGTATGTGTGTGTGTATATATGTATATATATATATATTATCATCTCATTTTCAATTTGTTTGTTTTTTAAATATTATTTTAATCTCAATAAACAACTTGCAGACAATAAAAATGCATTTTATTTAAAGGCGCCTCTCATGACGCTCAAGGTCACCGTACAGGACAGCTAGAACAATCAGTTCAGGTAAAAACACAATAAAAATAATAGCAAAAACAAAACAATACAAACTTAGCAAATTTAGCATATTTAAAATTGGGGGCTTCCACGATTTCTTACATATTTTAAACCAGGGTTTCTGCAGGTTTCACCAAGTTAGATTAATTAAACCTTTATAAGAAATAGAGTTAAAATGACCTTTTTGAATGAAAAGTTTAAAGTTATATTGAGATGGATTGTTGGTGATTGTATGGGTTTTGGCCAGATTGAGTAGGAAAAGATGAACAAAGAAAAATTAAGACCTTTAAAAAGAAAAGGTTTAAGACCTACAACACAATATTTCAGTAAATTTAAGACTTTTTAAGGCCTGAAATTTTGATTTTGGAATTTACAATGTTTTAAGACCCCGTGGAAACCCTGTTTAAACACAATAGCCCTGTTAATTAGTTATTATAATAATGATTTAATTCTAACTCAGATACTATCTGTGAGAACTAGTAACAACTACTAGAAAAAAAGTTTAAACCCATAAAGTTGATGAAAAAAAGGGAATTGTGATCACAGTGACATATTAGTACAAAGTACTAAGCCAACATTATCACTGTAATAGCAGATATCTTCTATGAGAATACTGTAGGTCAAATATCGTCAGCTCAATTAAACTTCTCTAAATGTACTGTTTTTGTTTAATTTAAATAGTGCCAGTGCTCAATGATGCTTTACAAACAGAAGGAGAACTAGAAAACCAATAACCTTAAGAATGTAGATAAAATGGAAGACTAATAATACATAAAAATAATGATAAAAAAACATGAGAACAAGTAACAAGAAATAAACTCATTCCTCTTTCAATGAGTGCTAATGTGCATATAAGAGAACTAGGCAGCACACTCAGGGCTGTAAGATGGATTTAATTTAGTATTCTTATTATTAATCTGAATGAGGATCAAATGACTGAGTTGGTCTTTGAGAGTGAAAATCAGTATATATCATTAAAATATCCAACCTGTTTGTTCCTGCAGATCTTCCTGTTTGACTGTGAATGTTTCTTCAATCTTCACATCTTCACTCTCCTCTTTAATGAACGCCATCTTTATAACAGTGTGGAGATCAGTCGCTTCAGCAGGAGTTTTTCTCTGTGTTTGGACACTTTATCCTGTTTAAAATGAACAAAACAATAAAAATGTCCTGTTTAAAATAAATAAAACAATGAACAGAAACAAAATAACTTCTCTTCAACAGTTTCTTTATATGAGAGTCATTAACAAACAGAAATCAGATAAGTCTGATCAAGAAACAATAGCCACTGATCAGCTGATTAAAACTAGTACTTCATTTCTTATATATAGTGATGTATATTTATAATGGAATGACATTGTGCTATTCAATCAATTAAACTTTCATCAAAACACTTATTACACACTTTTACTTTATTCAAGAATCTTCTTAATTGTTTTGTTTGTTTTATTTATCTTATCGTCTGTTTATAGCACTTTTTTGCACAAGACAAATTTCCTCTCCGGAACAAAAAGTTTATCCTATCTTTATTAAAAAAATAGACCTCATTACTGTAAGTTTCAGTAAACAGTACAGCGTTGTATAAAGGGTTAAAATAATATTTGCAAAAGGTACATAATTTAGCACTGAATGAAAACACTGAAACTTTAATCAATCGCTTTATGTAAGGCTAAACGCTTTAAAAACAAACCTTTCTCCAGTTGAATCACAGCGCGAGAGCGGCGCAGGCTTATGACGTCACAAGTCACGCCAAAATAAAAGTCTTTTTTTTTTTTTTTTTTTTTTACCTTTTTTGCCACTTACTCTTAGTCATGAGTCATGACTTATTATATATAGTTTTTCTCTGCGTTTGGGAATTTTGTCCTGTTAAAAATTAACAAAGCAATAAAAATGTTCTGTTTAAAATAAATTAAACTATGAACAGAAACAAAATAACTCCTCTTCAACAGTTTCTTTATATGAAAGTAATTAACAAAAATAAATCCAGTAAGTCCGAGCAAGAAACAACAGCCACAAATGAGCTGATTAAAACTAGTACTCCATTTCTAATATAAAGTGATGTATACTTAGAATGAAGTGAAATTATGTTATTTAATCAATTAAACCTTCATTAAGACACTTAATACACGTACGTTGTTCAATAGTTCTCTTTACTTTGAGTAAAATAGTATTACGTTGTATAAAGGGTTAAAATAATATTGTCAACAGCAGGTACATCATTTAGTATTGGATGAAAAACCTGAAACTTTAATCAATCGCTTTATATATCTGTGTAAAAGCTTTAAAACAAACCTTTCTCCAGTAGAATAACTTTTTTTTCTATTAATGCTTAAACTGACAATTCAAGCACATCATAACAAAGTCAGACAGTTCTTTAAAAAGAGCAATAATTTACATAGTCATAAGAAAAAATATCTAAAATCACATACAAATACAAATAATACCATTAGACAGAAAGGGAAAAATATTAATAGATTTAGACTAATAATACTAATACTAAAATTACTAAATTAAACAAACAAAATTAAATGAATGAAATTACAATGACACTTAACCAAATAACCGTAAGGAAAGCAAAATTGAGCATCTTCTTTAAATACATCTGCAGATAAATACATCTGCATAATATTTCAGGAATCTTAGATTTTTTTTGTATTATTCTTAATAATATAAAGTGATTTTAGGAGGAAGTTAAATTCTATT